CCTGCCCTGCCCATTCTCCTGTTGCTTCTCCCACCAGGTTTGGGTTGATGCTGCTGCACAGATTTTCTTCTCCTTGGGTCCTGGATTTGGAGTACTCCTTGCCCTGGCCAGTTACAACCCTTTCCACAACAACTGCTACCGGTGAGTTCTGCAGCCACGGGCCCCGGTGGGCACAGGGGCTGCACAGGCATAGCTGCAGCAGGGGTACATCCTGACAGCTCCTGGTCCCCGTGGCCACATCCCAACAGCTCCTGGTCCCCGTGGCTGCAGGCTGAGCATCTTTCCCCATTTCACTGATGATTTTGGTGTGAGGGACCAGAAGAGGGAACGGGAGGGGGGGAAGGTGGCCAGAGCAGCTCAACCGGGGTGAGGGTTGATCTGGAGGGGGGATCTCCCTACTTTCTGCCTTCCAGGGATGCTCTCATCACCAGCGCAGTGAACTGCCTCACCAGCTTCCTCTCAGGCTTTGTCATCTTCACCGTGCTGGGCTACATGGCTGAGATGAGGGATGTGGAGGTGGAGGATGTAGCCAGAGATAAAGGTTCTCATCCCTCCAGCAGCACCTTCCCCAAGCATGTTCCCACCCACACCCCAGGCTGTGCCAAGGGACAGCCAACCAAGCCAGTGTCCCCTCCTAGGGCCAAGCCTCCTTTTCATCACCTACCCTGAAGCAATTGCCAACATGGTGGGATCCACCTTCTTCGCCATCATCTTCTTCCTGATGGTGATCACACTGGGGCTGGACAGCACAGTAGGTGCCTCTGCGGAAAGGGACAACCCAGCCATGTCCCCAGCAGGGTGATGAGGGATGGGATGGGATGGGATGGGATGGGATGGGATGGGACATCCCCACTCTGCCATGGAGGGAGTGGATTTTCTTGGAGAGCAGGACTGTCCCCACATCCCATTTCCCCACCCCATGCCAGCATTTCCTTTGCAGTTTGGGGGCCTGGAGGCCGTGATCACGGCCGTGATGGATGAGTACCCCCAGCTCCTGGCCGGGCGACGGGAGCTCTTTGTCCTCGGCCTCATCACAGTCTCTTTCCTGGGCTCCCTGAGCACCCTCACCTATGTGAGTACCACTGAAACAGCCCCATCCCTGACCCCCACACTCCCACTCCTTCACCCCCATGGGGTCTGCAGCCACCCTCCCTCCTCATGCTACTCCAGGGGGGAGCCTACGTGGTGAAGCTGCTGGAGGAGTTCGGTGCTGGCTGCTCCATCCTGGCAGTGGTGCTCCTGGAAACCATAGCTGTGTCCTGGTTTTACGGTAAGAAACTGCCTCTGTCACGGAAAACATCCCGTGGGCACCTACACAGGTGTGCAACCCTACACAGGTGAGTAAACCCGGGGACTGAGGGGCAGAAGCTTGTGTGTGACTCCTGGAAAGGGGATGGATGGTGTGTCCACGTGGCTGTCAGTGTCCCTGTACCCACGTGCCCAGTGGGGCTGTGACAGCTCTCTCCTCTGGCAGGGATACAGAGGTTCTCCCACGATGTCAAAGCCATGCTGGGCTTCACCCCAGGGCTGTTCTGGAAGCTGTGCTGGGTTGCTGTCAGCCCTGCCTTGCTAGCAGTGAGTATCCATGGCCAGAACTACAGACAGGTCAAGTGCAGCCTCATTTCATCCTCCTGGTCCACGGCATCCCTGGCAGGGCCGGCCTCAGGTCCATCTCCATGCACAGGGCTGGATCCATCCCCTTTGAAATGCCAGCTCCCCCGGCACTTCAAAGGCTGCTGTTGGCAAGAGGCAGAGGGGTCTAATCTCACTGGATCTGCAGGAGAAGAGGCCTTGTGAGGATTAATTATGACTCTAAGCACTCTGCCCTGGTTATTAAGAGAGGAGTATTATCATCAAAGCAGACAGCAAACGGTCTTGTTTCAGCACGGGGACACTCAGCCTTCACAGGCCACTGTCTCATGGGGGGTCGTTAGACAAAGACCCCCAGCCCTCACCCAGCGAGGGGGGGAGCCTGGGAGATGGCACTGACACGTCCACGCTGGCCTGTCGTGGCTGGGAGAGCAGGGGGAGCAGTGGGACACGGATGGTGTTAATAGAATCATGGAATCACAGGCTGGTTTGGGTTGGAAGGGACCTTAAAGATCATCTTGTTCCACCCCCTTAACCTGATAACCCATGGGATGAGCTGCCATCAGTGCTGGGGAGATCATGGAATCAATTGGGTTGGGAAAGCCCTCTAAGATCATCAAGTTCAACCATTCCCCAGCACTGCCAAGGCCACCACTAACCCATGTCCCCAAGTGCCACATCCACATGGCTTCTAAATCCCTCCAGGGATGGGGACTCCACCACTGCCCTGGGCAGCTGTGCCAGGACTGGACAACCCTTTCAGTGAGGAAATTTTCCCTAATGTCCTAAACCTCCCCTGGCACAACTTGAGGCCATTTCCTGTTGTCCTGTCACTCTTTACCTTGGAGAAGAGCACGACCCCCACCTGGCTCCACCCTCCTGGTCAGGGTTTTGTAGAGAGGGAAAAGGTCCCCCCTGAGCCTCCTTTTCTCCAGGCTGAGCCCCTCCAGCTCCCTCAGCTGCTCCTCATCAGACTTGTGCTCCAGCCCCCTCCCCAGCTCCATTCCCTTCTCTCGATATGCTCCAGCCCCTCACTGTCTGTCTTGGGGTGAGGGGCCCAACCTGCTCACAGGATTTGAGGTCCCTCACAGCTCTGCTCCGCTCGTTACAGTTCATAGTCATCAGCTCCCTCCTGGACCAGCCACCCCTGACCCTCTTTGACTATCAGTACCCCGAGTGGAGCACCTCAGTGGGACACCTCATCGGAGCATCGTCCTTCATCTGCATCCCCTTCTACATGGTGTACAAGCTCGTCTGGACACCGGGGTCTCTCAAGCAGGTCAGGAACAGGATGGGCAATCTCATGGCTCCTGGGTGGGCTGGGGTGGGCAGAGACCCCTGCTCGGGTCAGCCTGAGACCAGGGTTAGGGAGCTGGGCAGGTGGTTGTGTCCTCAGTATCTTTGTTCATATGGCAATTAAATCCCACTGGGAGAGCTGCCTGGGAAGTGTTCAGAGGAGCGTGGCTTCGTGGCAGGAAGGAAACTGTCACGGTGTAGTTGTTGTAGTTGTTAGGTTTGGTCGATATAGAAAAGCACACACATACACATACACACACTGCACAAGAAGTTGAGACAAGTGCTGTCTGCAGCCTCAGCGCAGCAGCATCCTTTATTAGGAAAGCTAATACACTTTTTTTGTAAATAATATAATTTCTACAAATTACCATTATCATGCACCTGCACCATGAACATAGCCAACATTTTTGTCCTTGCACATCTCTATCCTCCCTAAACCTACTTATCAACTTGCCAATTAACTCCCTGCTTCTCAAGGCCGTACTGTTCATGGGAATGGTTAATTAGCTTCTCTGCTTCTCACGGGAACGGTCTTACGCCATCCAGCATACTGTACTCTTCTAGGGGTTCAACTCCTAGGGGCTCAACGGGCCTGCTGCTTCCCCCCACAGAAACCCACTGTGTTTTCCCTCTCCTGCTCTCTCCCTCAGCGCCTCGCCGTCTGCATCCGGCCGGAGAAGACCACGCGAGCCCCCCGGGCAGAGGTGGTGGGCTTGGCACCCATCCTGTAGAGCACCAGCGTGGCCGGGGGACACAGGGACTGCTGGGGCAGCAGGAGAGCAGCTGCCACTGCCTTCCTCACCACAAACTGCCCCTCTTTGTCTGCCCCGGTGCCAGCAGCAGCAGCTCCATGGTGTGCCTGAGCATCCCAGTGGAAGTGACACTGCTGGCACGTCCTGGCAGACTGGAGCCTGTTCTCACTTCTGTCAGGGAAACCTGTGATCCACAGCAGGGAGGACAGGACCCACCACAGGGAATCCTCTGATTCACTGCAGGGAGAATGGAACCCACTGCTGTGTCCTGTGGGAGGGTTGGGCCAAGGGGCCAAACTCCCCGGGTTGGAGGAGAACCCTGATTTCCAGCACAGACAGAGGAGGAATTTCCTCACTGGAGATGTCCATGGCCTGCCTGTGCAGACCTGTGGGTGGGAGCAGTGCATGTCTGTAGCTGTCCTGTGACACGGAAAATAAAGCTGATCTCGATGCTCAGAGAGGAGCCGGAGCCCACCTTTCTGTGTTCATGAAGCGCCGTGTGTGGCTGAGCTCAGGGCTGGGCTGGGGGACACGGGGGCTGCCGCTGTCCTGACACACCAATGCCTTGTTCTGCTACAATGGTCCAAGGCCCAGCGGAGGAACTGCCTGGCCCCGGGATGGGTTCCTGGGGTGGGTCTCGGCAGCTGCTGCCTCAGCCAGGCAGGTCGGTGCCTCCTGACATCCCATCCCGGCTGAGCCGGAGGCATCCGGAGAATTGGCAGCCTCCGGCATTTGAAAAGCGAAAGACCTTTACATATCTCGTTTTAAAACCAAATTCTAGGTGGGGGCAAAGCAGCCCTGGACTGGTGTGAACCAGCCACCTGCCGCGGCTTCCCAGTCGCGTCCTATCGCTCCCGGTGCAGCCTCGACGTTCCTCAGCGCCCTGGGGCCAGTTAAACACTTCCAAAACTCACTTTCCCCGCGGCGGAGGCTGGAGGGGCACACGGGGCTTGGAGGGACACGGAGCTGGGGGGACACACGGGGTTGGGGGAGATGCACTCGGGGGTTCAGTGACGCGCCAGGGGCGGTACACGCGAGGCGCAGCCGATCCCAATTCCCGGGTCCCGACCCGCTCCCGAATCCCTCGGTCGGTCCCCGGAAGCGGCCGGAATGCCGACGGGACGGGGCGGGCGGCAGGATAGGGGCAGGAGCCGACCTGGCGCACAAATGCTCCGGGTGGGCGGCGGGGCTGGGTCCGCTCAGGGTCCGTGCTGTGTCGCATGGCTGTCGCGATGATGGCTCGTCGGCCGGCGCGGGGCTGGGCGCTGTTCCCGCGGCCCGTCGGATGCGCAGCCGGCCCTTACGCGTGTAAGCTGCAGTCACCAGAAACCTGGGTGAGGAGCGGGGGGCACCGGGCACAGCCCGTCCGGGGCTCGGGAGTGAGTTGTCGGGAGTTATTTGTTTAATTAACGCTGTTTCTTTTCCCGCCGCAGTGCTGCTGGGCAGCATCCTCAGCGCCCTCCTGCTCACCATCATCCTCATGGCCATCTGCGTGTACCGGCCCGTGCGGCGGCGGTAGCGGAGCGGGACCTGCCGGGGCATCGAGGGAATGCTGCATCCCACCTGTTCTCCCGTCTGGTACCCACCGTCCCACCCCTGCTCTGCTCCCGTCCGGTTCTCCCATGTGGTACCCGCTGTCCCGCCGCCGCCGGCGATGCCCTGACCATGCGGGGGTGGCTTTTCGCCCGTCTCGTCCCGCGCTGCATCGTGTGGCTCCATCGTGACGTTGCTTTCGGCGAGAGCCTGTCCAGGGGCTGGAAATCACACCCCAGCCCTCAGCGAACGGGCTCCTGGAGCTCCCGGCAGCGTGTTCGCAGCAAACCCGGCTGGCTGTGAGGAGGGTCTGGAGCAACGCCCCTTACTCCCAAATTGCAGCGTTTCAGCGAGGATGATCCTGCAGGATGTGCTCGGGAGCATCCCTGGTGCATGTGGGCGTGCGGGGCCTGGATCAGCACGAGAACGTCGTCCGAGGAGCAGGTCCACACTCTCGATCACACCACAGCCACATTTGTTTTCCCATTATTTCAGTTCCTTGTTTGAACGCTGAGTCTCGGGGGTTGGACAGGGCTTGGAGCAACTTGGTCGAGTGGGAGGTGTCCCTGTCCGTGGCAGGGGGTTGGAACAGGATGAGCTTTCTGGTCCCTCCCAACCCAAACCGATCAAAAATGGCCCAAAGGCAAAGGCTCAGTGACTCACCACAGCAGTGGGGGGGGGTGGAGGGGGTCTGGCATGTTCTTGCCTCTGAGCAGAAACACCGGATCCTGGTGTAGCTGTTCAGGGCTAGGCTTGTCATTCCCAACGTTATTTGCTTTAACTCTTGGCTAAATAGCCCCAAACAGCCTCATACCAAACCAGCCCTGCTGAACCTGTTTGGAACTGGGGTGCAGGTGAGGGTTTCCAGCATGTGCTGGTCACTGTCCTCCTGGAAACAGGAGCCTTCAAAGGTCTGCAAGCCAGGCAGCTGCTGGGACCTGCCAGGCTCAGGCTCTCTGGAAGTGTTTGAGCTCCAGCCAGACCCATTTATGCATTTTCAGTAACAAATCCAAGTGTTTACACTGAATCCCACTCATACGAATGCTGCTATTTTGTTTTGCACTGCTACGAGTAGTAACTGGATTTTACTAATTATTACTTTGGTATTTAACATAGAGGTGGTTTTGTTAGTAATTTATTTAGTGTCTTAAAATGTAACTTCCAGAACATTTGTGTTGAGCTTTTGTCTAACCCCTTGTGCTGCATCTGAGGTGTTTTCCCTTCCATTTGAAGGACACCAACCACTGGCATTGAACGGGGGGAATTTCTTTGCTGCTGCTCAGTTGGTGAAATGAGAGTAGGAAGCTCCCCTAGAACAGAATGAGTTCTTAATCCAAATGAAACGAGAGTGGGGAAGCAAGGCAGCACTGTTCTATTGCTTTCTGCTCCTTTTTTTGCTCACTGATTCCTGTATCCTTGATTTTTCTCAGTCCTTCATCTGCTGTAAAGCCTGGCCTGCAGTCTGTGCTGCTCACGGGGGTGGATGGTGAAGCTCCCAGCCACACTCCGTGTTCCCTGGAGCAGCATTCCTGTTTGCTTTCATTCTTCACTCCCTGCCATGCCTCTTTGTACAAATAAAGAGCTCAGTAAACAATCTAGACTCTTATTTATTCATGGATGTGCTGTTTGTTATTAACTGGCCTGTACTGTACAGAGGGAGGAGGCTGCCCCTATTCTCACCTCTGGTCACCTCACAGTTCCTACCCTGCTTTCAGCAGTGAGGGAATGGGAGGGCAGTGCTGGGGAAAGGTTTCCATGGATGTTTGTTAGCAAGGAGCTGTTAACAGTGCAGTGAAAGCTCATCCTGCAAGCCTCGTGCAGTTACCAGCAGTCCAGTCACAAACCAAAGCTCAGCCAAAGCAGTGTAAGAAGGGTTTCCAAATAAAGAAAATCAGGAATTACTGTTGTAAAGAGCCTTGAAACAACAAGTCAAAAGTACAAAAAAAAGCACATTCTCAGTCCTGCTTTCAGAAACAAGCAGCATGAGATTAAAGAACTTTTAAAGCTGGTTATAGTTTTAGAACAAGCTCTAAGTGTTTGTAGCTCTGAGCTCCTCTTTGCTACGTCAGCCTCCAGCTTCCTCAGAAAGAGAAGTTATAATCAGCTGTTACACAGCAATAGTGGCATCAGTATTAAACATATCTGAACCCTCTCCTCATCTCTGTTACTCACAAGAAGATGCAAACAAAAATTAATAAGCTTAACCCCCTGCCTTTCACTGCCTTAGATCTGTGTTGACCTGATCCCCTTTTTCAAGACAGGAAGACTCAAAACTTGGCTGAAAATGTCTCAAGAGTGATTCTGGGGATTGTGTGCCTGATTCAGACTAAACCAGAACTACCTTTGAGAATTTCATAGATGATAATGTCACTTTAATGTACAAAAATGCCACAAAATACTTATTAAAACAGACTCCAGATACCACATTTGAAAAAATCCTTGTGTGTGGTGTAACATGTGCTGTACTTTTGGTTTTATTTCCAACACACACAGAGGATCCATCTTACACTGTATGGGTTGAAAGTCAAGCTTTAAGAAAAGCAGCACCTGGGTGAGGGAAGCAGGGCATTCTAGTTTAGCTGGAATGATACAAATGTGATAGAAAGCAAAAAACCCAAAAGCAAATCCCATTTATTTTACAGTCCCGGACTAAGAAGCAGTAGCATAACAAAACTTCAACTGAAAGTGCTCAATGTTCTTTAGTTTAAATACAAACCCAGAACAAGTCAGCTTGAAAAATGATTATTTTTACCCCTCCTGTAGCCTGTGAAATGCTTAACAGAAGACAGGCACTGCCAGACAGCTGGGTGTGTAAAGGCAACAGCACTCTTTATTCCCACTGGAGGAAACACCCAGGGTTTCATCTCCTACCTCCAACCTTGTCAGGAGCTCAACACAAGGATTATTCCCTTTTTCCCCAACTGTGAGAGTCACAGTAATCCCCTTTTCAAAGAAAGGTGCAATTCCAACCCAGCCCACTGCTCCTGTGCAGGACAGTCCCCGCTCCTGCAGCACCCAGGAAGCTGTTTTTAGGGAATGAAGCTGTACCAGAGGACACCACCAGTGTGGAGAGGCCAGTCCTAGTGCACACTGAAGGAATTTTAATAATTTCCTATGTAAAACAACGGATTATTGGTTTAAAATAGGGTTCCAAGTTACCAACTATCCCACTGGTTATGATCAAGTCCATTTTTTAGTGATTTTATACTGGTTAATTAATAGCTGGTCACCCAGAACTGCCCTGTTTAGCCTGAGGAACAGGAGCAGGGTTAGGAGCAAGCTCAGAGCAGGGGTACCATAGGTTCCTCCACTCCTGCCAGCCAGAGCAGAGGAATATTGCTCACATTTAACAACTGTAAGGCTTTCCTGTGGCTGTTCATCGTGTACTTGTGGAGTGCACTTGAGAGTCACAGTGTGAGTACTGTAAACACTGACAGAAGTGCAGA